AGGACAACAAGATGAGGCTTTACATTGGTCGCGAGGCTTCAAAGGTTTCAGCTTTAGTTCTTCCTTTTCCTTCTTCTTTTTTTTTTTTTGTCTGCTTCGTTCTTCTCTTCTTGGTTTTGGTCCTTGACTGCTGAACATTTGAGGAATTGATTTCATTAGATTCTTTTCCTGATTGCTTTTGGGAATTTTGATCTAATGTGGTTTTGGTTTGAAGCTATGGAAGAGAATTTGTGCAGAGACAATCACAGAGATCAACCTGCTTCTAGAGAATTGGAAGTACCTTCTTGCTGGTCTCATTTTTCAGGTTGGAAATCAACCCCGTTTTTGTGTATATATTCTTCCTCAATACTTCATTATGCAGGCGAAGACCTGTGTCTTGAATGTAGTTTCTTTTCCCTCCAAAAGAAATGGGATTTGGTAAAGGGTTCTCATAGGGGGTTTTTGCAGTTGTCACTTGTGACGCTGGAAAATATAACAACTGAATTTCATCCAGTTTTACTCATCAGCCATCATGTACATTTCTTGTCTGCAGTACATTCATGGTCTAGCTGCTCGAGGAGTTCATTATCTCCATCGTCCAGGGCCAATACTTCAGGACCTTGGTTTCTTCCTTTTGCCAGTAAGTTTGGTTTCTTTTTTCTTTCACGATGTTATATACAATCTGTTATAGCAAATGCTTCTCACATCTGTTTTCTGGTAAATTTAGGAGCTTGGGCAAGATAAAGCCTACATCAGTGAGACTGTATTCACCTTTGTCTTCTTGTCTTTTGTCTTGGTAAGGTTCTCACAATGTGGTCTTCCTTCTTTCTTTTTTGGTGCAACAATGTGGTTTTATTTATTGTTTCTCTTTCTCTCTGGATGATTTCATTCATCAAAAACGGAGTCCAATGTTGATGTTACCTGTTTTATCTTACCTCTTTCCCTGTAGGCTTCCAACGCTGTGGTTTATTTATTGCAATAGTGCATTATGGCATTTATCTGTATGTATCTTATTGTCCTAACATGTGGTATGCTCTTTGCAGTGGACTTTCCATCCTTTCATTGTCAAAAGCAAAAAGATCTACACAGTATTGGTGTGGTGCAGGGTTCTAGCATTTTTAGTTGTAAGTGCTGAGGCTTCATGTATTTTTATGTTCTATTTTAGATTCATATTGCATAGGTCTAATATACTTTGTGTCAATGATTGCATTGCTCTTACTTTTCAATACTTTATCCAAACTCCAATGACTTATGTTGGAAATATACTAGAAACCTTGAGCAGACATGAGTATTTGGTTTGACTTCCTTGTATAATGAACAGATTATGAAAAAATTGAATGTATGAATGCTGACTTGTGGTCACGTGGTAGCACTAGAACTCGAATGTCTGCAACTTTGGTTTATAGAAACTACTTTGGAGAATATTGAGTAACCACTGCCAGTGTTTTTCTTAAATTATATATATTTTTTAATGTATTTTCCGCAGGCTTCTCAGATTCTCCGGATTATTACATTCTATTCTACTCAGCTTCCTGGTCCAAATTATCATTGTCGAGAGGTAAAGGCTATAGTTGTGTGCATCTTATTGTTTTTGCTTTGTCATTCAATATGTAATGGTCTTTAACTTTTTTCTGCACATTTGAAACAGTATCCTCTAAATTTTATTGGGCTTTAGTTGTTTGAGAGTGTTGTTCTTACTTGGGCTTTTATAAAAACTGAAAATTGATTCAAACAAAGTTATGCTAAGATATTCCCTGCTTTTACAGGGGTCTAGACTTGCCAGGCTGCCACCACCAGAGAGTGCGATAGAAGTCCTCTTAATTAATTGTAAGTATTGTTATTTTAGCCTGTTCTCTTAAATTTCTGGCTGCTTAGCTAATTTGCTTGCTGAATATGCAGTTCCTCAAGGCATAGTTTATGGTTGTGGTGATTTGATTTTCTCATCACACATGATCTTCACACTGGTCTTTGTCCGTACTTATCAGAAGTATGGTACACGAAGGTATACTCTCTGTTAATACATACACCTTGATTCCTTTTTTGACCACTTATGTTGTTTCTTTACCCTGAAATACTGAAAATGTTGAGAATAATTGATACTGGTATTATACTTATTACATTTTCAATTGTCAATTATGAGTATGCTGAAAGGGTTAGTTTTTTCCAAATTCTGAGTATGATGGGAATAGAATAGGTTGGCTGATTCTGCTAGGCAAGTCTTTTCAATAAAAGGACATTTTTCTTTCTTGTGCCATGGCCCCTACTTGAATTTGATCTTGTTCTTTATTTGTTCATTATGGAGATGACTTCTCACCACATACCTAGGTATGCATTTATAAATTGATTGATTTCTAGAGGTTATGGTGCATAACTGCAGGTTTGTAAAGCAGCTTGCTTGGTTGATAGCCATAATTCAAAGCCTCTTGATTGTAGCATCCCGCAAACATTACACAGTTGATGTAGTTGTTGCATGGTATGACTGATTTATATTTTCTTTTAATTTTGATCATATTATTAAGCAATTTTCTGCTTTGATTTTCTAAACAGTCTAATAATATGATTCTTCTGCAGGTATACTGTTAATTTAGTGGTATTCTTCATAGACCATAAGCTGCCAGGTCAGAATAGTTTGATATTCTATTATTTTGTTTAACCTTAAGTTTTCTTTTTCTTTTGCATTTAGCTTCATCTGGGCATTTGGTTATGATACTTAATGCTAAATTGTTACTGCAGAACTTCCTGACCGATCTAATGGAGGCTCATCACTGTTGCTACCATTGAGCACTAAAGACAAGGATGGTAAGAGCAAAGAAGAGAATCACAAGCTCTCGAACGGGAATGCTGGAGATGCTGCAGATTGGGTATAGTTCATTTATTTATTCTATATCTTTTTTCGTTAGGCAGCTTGATATTGATATCAATTGGACAGACATTTAGAGATTATTTATTTGTTCAGAGGCAGAGGACACAAGTCAATGGCAAGATTCTAGAAGAAGGTAATGCTGTCCATGATACAGCAATGAATGGTGCATAGATCGATGATGGAAGTCGCTACATCTGCACATCTGCTGCTGCAGCTGCTATCATGGGGGTCTGCTTTGATTAAAGGCCTTATATAAAGCTTCCAAGACCAGTGAACTTGATTTGTATTCTAAAGAAAATAGAATTGGGGTTATGCTTCGCAGTCCTCCAGTGTGCCTTAGATTAAGATCATCATCAGTCACCACACGTATCATGGAATTTTTCAAGTTGCTATTTCTTTCGTCATTCACCATGTTCCTGTTTATAGTGCGTCCACTAATTTTCTATTTGAGTGTCATTTGTACCGCGGTGCCTATAATTATTTCTTAAAGCAGAAGGCAATTGAGAACCATATATCAGTGACATGCCTTTTGTCTTTGAATGGATTTTCTTCTCTTAATAGAATTGAAAACTCGGTCAAAATGCAGAAAATCCCTGTTTTAAGAGTTCTGTGTAGTTGTGGTTCCTCAATTGTTGTCCAACCAAGCCTTTTTAATTTCTGTTACTACATTCTGCTGAGTCTCTACAGGTGTCTCTACTGCTTAGAATTTCGAGGGTTCTACCCTTACCTACAAAACAGAAAAGGTCTCTTTTCTTTTATAACGATCCCATCTTTCTTCATAATGTACCGTCCAATTTCAGATTTCTTGCCTAAAAGCTTCATTTTTAAAGATCTAATGATGCACCATCTGTGGATGAGCTTTCTGCTTTTGTTGTGAGGGACCAGTTTTGTTGGAATGATTATGTGGATGGGAGTGGGATACTAAGATTTTATTACTTAAACATATGTCAATCACCTTGTTGAAATAGAAGCACTTGGGTCATGTTTCCTGTGAGAACAAGAGACATTATTGCACATTTGCACCAACAAGCTTGAAATATGTCTTTTATCTCTTGATGAGAGGCTATACAATATAAGATAACCTTTTCAAACTTAAATTTAGTGTCACATTGTTACCAATAAGACACGCCTTGAAAGCTATATGTCTTTATTTCATTTTATTCTTGTGTTATAAGCATTATCCGCTGAACACGTTACCGAATTAAAATTTCAAGGAGACAGCATATATGGGCGGTAGCAAAGCTAGTTTTTGTTGCCCATGTGGGGTTGCCTCTCAGGTTTTGTGCTTGAGTTTGACGCCCTGACAGCAAAGAGGCCCCATACTTTCTTGGGTCATGATATTGTAGGCAAGCACAAAGCCACAACCACAAACATGGTGGTGCCCCACCGGCTCCAACCTGTGGGTGTGACCATGCTGATTGCTGGCGCAATTTATGCTGTAAAAGTTGGTCAATAAATTAGAGCATGAACAATTGCATGTCGGATAGATCATGCTGATATTGTAGCATGTCTGGATAACGACCACTTTCTCCTTTTGCATGCCCTCCCCTTTTCCCACTAAAGGGTTCCTCATGAACCCTAAGTGGGTGGTCCTAATAATGTTACCAACTGTCAGAAACAGTCTTTGCTAGTCCTTTAGCCTTCTGTTTCTGTGCTATCCTTTCAGGAATGGTAAGTCTATTGGTAGCATTGTCTCAGCTGGTCCATTTCTTGGTAGCTAGGTGGTTTCATTAAAGTTTTTGTTTTAGGGAAAGGGAAAGGATAAGAATGTTGTAGGAGAAGTTTTTGTTTTAGGTTCCTAGTGTTAAATAGGAAAATCGAACTCCACCAAATGGCTTAATGGTCGCGCGTTTTATTGACATTGATGAATTATTCATCTGATTTGGAATTCGAATCCCTAATTGCTAACATTTAATCATTGCCTTTATAAAAATAAAAAAAAATCTTATGTCAAAATAATATGAAAAAAAATATAATTTAAATAAAAGGTTGCTGCTATATGTATTATTAATTAATTTTAATTAGAATACTCACACGTTGAATTTTTACACATGATAGTGAAAAAGAAGTAGATTGGTGAAGTTTTTAAATTTTTTTTTTTGAACATATTTTGTAAGGGGTGGGTTTCAAATCCTGCCACGAGAAAATGCACCGGTGAGTAATGTCATTAGGCCTCAAGTGCCAGGTGACGGTGAAGTTTTTAAACTTGTAATTAGAAAGATTTAAAAAAAAATTATATGGAATTTTTTGAAAGGAGCCAAATTGTAACATCATGAAATCTCTTCGTCAATAGGAAATAAGACTTATAAAATCTTGGGGAATGTTTTCCACACATGGTGGTGCCCCATTAAGAAAACATCACTAGTTAATGCTTTCATCTTTTTGGTTTCTTTGAATTTCTTCAAAATCATATGTACTCCCAATACAATCTCTTCCAAAAAGCTGCAATACTTCCCTCCATTTTCAGTTGATTTTTAAGCTTTTAAGAAATTATTCAGCCTGTCAAATCTCTAGAACTGGAGATGATGAAGATAATAAGATATTATTCAATGTTGTTCTCATACATTTCTGCTCCCAAAGAAACATTTTACTATAGTAAGGAATATCATTAACGTAATATTTATCTTAAATTTATATCATATTTACGTAAATTAATTAAAAAATACTTTTAAAAACTTTTGCATTTTATGTTTAGTTGTTATTAGAGCTTAAATACCATCTCAACATGAACCATCAACTATATTATTTAGTAACAGAATTACTTATATTTTTAATTACAAATTTAAAATTTAATTTTTAATTTTTATGTTAAAAAAAATTATCTCAACATGAAATATAGAGGGTACAATAATACATTGAAATTTTTTTTCAAGAGAAAATGAAAGGGGGAAAGGAAATTGTCTTTTTCAAACGAAGTTACTACAATTGGATAAGTGATAATGTGATAAGGACTCAACAGTCAACACATTAGTAATATCAAATTAAATGGCTAATGCAACTTCAACAAACAAGCAATATCTCCACTTCACCAATCTTTTGACTTTAGACCACACACCATCCCCCTCCTTCCATTCCCCTGTTCCCCGCGCTGTTCCTACAAACACAATCAACCAAAACCATGTTATTTTCCTGGCACAATAATTAATTAAATTAAGTTTTGTATCACACAGTTTGAATGCTATTAAACTGTATAATAAAAGTTATTAAAATTAAAATGAAATCATTAAAATTAAATAAGACGAGAGCTTCTGTATAAATTACCTATTTCTAATTGTTTAAATTGTAGGGTTGATTTTTTTAAATAAAAAATTATTTAAATAATTTATATAAATAAAATCATTAAAATTAAATAAGACGAGAGCCTCTGTATAAATTATCTATTTCTAATCGTTTAAATTGTAGGGTTGATTTTTTTAAATAAAAAATTATTTAAATAATTATACTTTAAAAAATTGTAAAAAAAATAAAAAAACACGAAGGTGAAAAGTGGAAATGAAATGATTGTAACGGGGAGGGGAATGATGAGATTACAGAAAGCTGATACCGGAAAAAAGTCACTTTGGATTACTGTCATCACTAATAAACTTCCAAATTTTAACTAATAATTTCACGTTCTAAACTAAACGCTAATAAGCTAAACTCACAGAGAATCCACAATCCTCAGTCTTTCCTGTCATCAAAATCGCACCAAATGTTCGTTTGATCCGCCGTTTGTGCTTTCTCTCGCCGGAAATCCGAACAATGGGAGCTCGTTGTTCCAAGTTCTCCACCTGCTGGTTTCAGTCTCATCTCAAGGCCTCCGTTCTTGAATCCTCCGATCTCGGTATTTTCTTTCTCTTTCTTAAATCGTCGTTAATGGTGATAACTTTTTTGAACTGAGTGAGTAATTTGGTGCAGAGAATGGGGGCAAAAATGAGCAAGAGAAATGGCCGAGTTTCGCTGAGTTTAGCTTGGACCAATTGAGAGCTGCCACGTCTGCGTTCTCCTCCGATAACGTAGTCTCGGAGCACGGTGAAAAAGCTCCTAACGTCGTTTACAAGGGGAAGCTCGACGACGACCGTTGGATCGCCGTTAAGCGTTTCAACAAGTTCGCCTGGCCCGATGCTCGCCAATTCCTCGTGCGGCGACGATTCCATTTTACTTGATTTTATCCTTTTCTTTAAAAAAATTTTATTTCGACTCGCCGATTCACAAGTTTTCCGGTGTGTGATTAGGAGGAGGCGAGGGCGGTCGGGAACCTGAGGAGCGAGCGTTTGGCGAATCTGATTGGATGTTGCTGTGAAGGTGACGAGAGGTTGCTCGTCGCTGAGTTTATGCCCAATGAGACCCTTGCAAAGCATCTCTTCCACTGTAAGTTACTATATAGCTTTTTCGCTGTGGAAATGAAGTGTAGACTGCAGAGTTTCTTAATTTGGTCGTTTAATGGTTGTGTTGTGTTTTGTTGATTAAGGGGAGAGACAGCCCATGAAATGGGCAATGAGATTGAGGGTGGCATTGTACTTGGCGCAAGCTCTGGAGTATTGCAGCAGCAACGGGAGGGGGCTGTACCACGATCTCAATGCTTACAGGATCTTGTTCGATCAGGTAAAAATGGGTTTGAGTTGTATTTTTCTGGTGTATTCTATTCATCCTTTTGGTTGTTTAGATTGTAATTCTGGAATTGGGGTTGACAGGATGCTAATCCCAGGCTTTCTTGCTTTGGACTCATGAAGAATAGCAGAGATGGAAAGAGTTATAGTACGAACCTAGCATTCACACCTCCAGAATACTTGAGAACAGGTAGGTGTAATTGGGAAAGTAGGGAGTGAAGCTTACAGTTCCAATTGAAGTGTGATCCTATCAATGAAATCTAAATGGTTATGAAGGGGTTTAAGAGCCATGCATATGGTTGTAACTGGGAAACACACTGAGTTTGCGGAAGACTCATTTGGTGTGGATCTTTCTGGAGATCCTTCGGTTCTCATTAGCGTGATAATGTAGAGGAAACTTGTTTTTATGAGCTTACTAAACAAGTAGGGTTAATATACTATCTAAGTTTAATACGGTATCTAAGAATAACTGCAAATGATGTTGTATTATCTGTAATGGGATCTATTTAATTTTGCAATTGGACTTGATTGATGTTGTATTACCTGTAACTGGTACTAAATGCTAAGCTAAAGCTAACTCAATTATATTTGTGCATCTTGGGCAGGTAGAGTGACAGCAGAAAGTGTAGTGTACAGTTTCGGAACCTTGCTGCTTGATCTTATGAGTGGCAAACATATTCCTCCAAGCCATGTAATATTTTCTATCCCTATGATAAATCCTTTTACAGCTAGGATGTCATCTATGTAATTAATTCTGTGATATTAGTTAGAAGAGAAATCTTGTTCTCACTCTCTTTGGTAAGTGGAATATGAATTAAAAAGGACTGGCGATAATTTTATTATTTGTTTTGAATTTCAATAAGTGCGGCTGTGGGAGTGGCTTGATAAGATGCTGTGTTTTAAAATGCTGCCTTCTATTCAAACTCACATTCCTTTTTTTTTTTTTTGGCCAATACTCATATTCTTTGTTGATATGTCTATATTTGAATACAATTTTTTATCAAAAAAAAGGAAAAAAAAATTAAATGCTATTGTAAACTTGTTTGCAGGCACTTGACTTGATTCGTGGCAAAAATTTCCTTATGTTGATGGATTCTGCTTTGGAGGGCCATTTCTCCAATGATGATGGAACTGAGTTAGTGCGGTTAGCTACCCGCTGTTTGCAGTATGAAGCTCGTGAGAGGCCAAATGCAAAGTCTCTTGTCACATCTCTATTGTCACTTCAGAAGGATGCAGAGGTACATATATGTCAATGAATAGACTAATTCAGGTTTTTATCTATCTCTGATTTTGTAAATTTTAAATGTAGTCCTGGCTTCCTACAGGGTTCTCTCGTAGTTGTTTCTAAAAGCATCTCCTCAGTTAAAAGTACATAATATTGTTATATTCGTGCATTTCTTTCCTGCAGCTTTATTCCTTTGGATCTTCTTTTGTATTTTCAAGTTAATGTATTCCATAATTTAAAAAGAAGGGGGTAAATGTATTCCTTTGCTATTCTGTTATTAGAATTTTTTTGCAAGTTGTTTGTTCAAAATGAGATTAACATTAGGAAGTTGTATATCTTTCAGTCATGTCCAAGTGTGTTCCCCTCTCCCACATTCAATGGCACAAGGCCAGTCTGCTTTTAAATAGTTGATAATAGCTTACTTGAGCAGTTAGAAGACCGTAATTTCTCATTAAACAGAGGTTTAACAGGTTCCATCATACGTTTTGATGGGTATTCCACATGAAACAACGTCTTCAACACAGCCATTGTCATTAACTCCCTTTGGAGAGGCTTGCTTGAGGTTGGATCTCACAGCTATTCATGAAATATTGGAAAAGAATGGATACAAGGATGATGAAGGGATTGCAAATGAGGTTTGCTACTTCCTCCTTGATGTTCTGTTTGATTAGGGTCAAATACTCAAACATGTATTTAGCACAGAGCAGTGCCAGGTTTGGCTTCATAGGTTGAAGACATGTTATCTATCTTGCTTTTGGGTGCATGGACTGAAAACGATATGTGAGGCATAAAAAGTGGTTGTGCAATTTATTTACAAATTTAATATGAATGGGGACAGCAAAGTCATGCATCACCTATTTATAGCAACTTACTTCTGGTCTTAACCAGTTTAGGTGCCTTTTCTGTTTGATGTCCACTTTTATTGGAAAAATTCCTGGATCTGATTTAGTTATTCTGGTCTTCAGCTCTCTTTTCAAATGTGGACCAGTCAAATGCAGGAAACCCTGAATTCTAAGAAGCATGGTGATACTGCTTTCCGAGCCAAGGATTTTTCCACTGCCATTGATTGCTACACACAGGTGAGCTTTCATTCTGAAATCTATAGGACTAGTAAATCAGCAGAAAATATTCCTCTTGATACTTCTTACAGTGAAACATGCTACAAGAGCAAGATTATGTTGCAAAAGCATCGGAAAGAAGAAACTTGGATTAGAGTAACTAGCATATTTACATCAGAGATGCATATGTATAATGTATGGCCTTGATCACAGGAAGATATATATATTAGGAAAAAGATGTGAAGCCTAAATATGTTATCTTAAAAAGATTCCACGGTTTCCACCATCTAAAAACAAAGCATCTTCTGCAAACTTCTCTGATAGCAGCATTGAACCCTACTGTTCCAAGTCAATAATATGCTTTAGACTAAATAGTTTTTTTCTGCCCCTAGTTCATTGAAGGAGGGACCATGGTGTCACCAACTGTCTATGCTAGACGTTGCTTGTCTTACTTGATGACTGATATGCCACAAGAAGCTCTTGGGGATGCCATGCAGGCGCAGGTAGTCTCTCCTGAGTGGCCTACAGCTTTATATCTTCAAGCAGCTTGCCTATTTAGCCTAGGAATGGAGAATGATGCCCAGGAAACACTGAAAGATGGCACCAACTTAGAAGCCAAAAGGAACAAAAATTGAAAACATGTATAGGTTTTCTCCTATTGTTTTTCCTCCTCTTGTATTAAATTCCCTTCTTTTTCCATATCATTTGGTTTTTCTCCTTTTAAGGGTGGTTTCTGAGAATTGCGGTATTTTTGTTGATAGTGATGATAGTTTTGATAATTTATATCTGCAATTTCTGGAAATGGTTTATTTTAAAACATTAGTGAATGCAGGATTAAGCAACTCTCAGTTCTAGATGTCACATTGTTTTTCAGATTTCTTGCACCAAATTTAAAAGAATTAAGACAAGTGTCCTTATAGGCCGTCCTTGAAACCCAGTGGTAAAAAGCTTTAGTCCATATGCCGAAAGTCTCTTAAGTTTGAATCATAAAATGGAAAGGTTGGGATTTGAGGAGGTGAGAGTTATTACATGTTATCATTCCAAAAGGCGTTAAAAGATGGAAAAGTAAAAGAAATGGAGTTCTATTACATGAAGATCATCCTGTTTTCTTGCCAAGCAAAATCATATACAATCCATTTTCCACAACCCTATAACACAAGGGGAAACTGCAAAGTATGTGGAGCTAGAGCAGTACTCAGACCAACAGCTCAGCGTTCAACCACTCTTTGTCAAACACCAAATCTAGTAATTAATTTTGTAATTGTATCCTCGAATACAAGGCAATATGCAGCTCTGATTACTGTGAGGAATGTGCGGAGGTAAACTACATGTGTGGAGTGGAAGATAAGCGTGTATAAATAAATACCTATTAACCATTGCAAGGTTCTCTACAATCCCAATTACTCATCACCATTTCAAGGAATTCAGCTGTGGCTCATTTAAAGCAATTCTGTTTTATCATTCATTTTGATCTTAGCCCAAGAACTTTATGATTGTGGCATATTGAAGTGAAAGAGCCATGATATGACAAAGGCAAATACCATGCAAGCCAAAAGGAAGTTAAGGAAGCGATGGCCCTGCCAGAAACCTCGAGAGTCTGAATGGGGCACTGCTGTGGAGACTGCTGCTGTTGCTGTTGAATTATTGTTCTCATTTGACTGTTCAGTTGACTCAACCTCAGTTATTCCAACAACATTGCGTGCGACAGCATGGCAAATTTCACATGTCCTAACACAAATATAAGAGACTGAATAAATAGAAGAAATAAAAAAGATCATAAAAAAGACTCATTCCATATCCAATGAGAAAAACCATTCCAAGAGGTGTTAACATGACATTCACATGAGGTGAACAAAGTAGACATGCAACAAATCAGAAAAATTTCCCAACATTCTTAATACTTTTATCGCACTCAATATCTCCGAAAACACAATAGTGCAACCTCTAAACAAAACAAATTATGAAAATAAAAATGCAAAGCATGGAGAAGGTGCTATAGTTGCAAAAAGTAAAGAAAAAGAATTAGCAAATGGTGCTTGATTATAAAAGAAAATAATGAGTTATTTTTTACTTTCATTGTAAAAGAATTAAAGCAGCAACATGGATTCCATATAAGTTCTTGAATTGAGCCAATGCACAACTTCTATCTCGATTCCACTCTAAAAGTTTGCTAGAAAGTCAGAAAATTGGTAAAGCAGGGTTGAATTTGGAGCACAGTCATATCAGTTCATACTTGATAGACAGAGTTCCAAATCCTATCAGATTCAAAAAATATTCCGGCCTAAAGCAGGCTATCAGAACCACAGAAAATGAGATGGTATCATGAGTGGTGGTAGTTGGAAAAACCTCAATTGTTGATATGAGAAGTGACAGTATCAGACATAGGATCAACAAGAAGTCACACCAGTCAAGATTACCAGATAAATGGAGCACGGATCAATTAATGCACAATCAACTAGTTTCTGTAATAATCATATGTAGAATCCGAGAAAATTTATGTATCATTCGTTTGGTATCTTTTTATGCCACGTACATACAAAATCTTATCAGCCAAGAAAGCAGGAAATCTAGAGTTGGTAACAAATCCCAAAGTGGAGCACCTAGGAGCAATGTCTTCAATTTAAGATAAAGAGAGTGCATCAAGAGGGGTCACATCCAAAAGAGGCAATACAAATATTCCTAAACTCCTAAAAATCACAGCGCAACATGGAATTGTCGGTGTGGTTAGATAACTCCTTAGTGCTTTAATCTCCTGCTTTACTTTTTCCATTAACTTCTTTTGAAAATATAA